TCTCTGCCCATATGACTTCTCCTGGATCCAGTTCCATCTCTCTGTCTCCAACTCCCCTGCTCCCTTTGGTCCAGCCATCATATCCTCAGTCTGAAATCATTGTCTTGGTCTTCCACCTGGTTTGCCTTTTTCCAAAGTGGTAGCCACTGTCTTTTTGAATAGAAATCAAAGACTTTATTTGTGATGTCGGCTCCTCCCTTCTTCTGACCCCTGGTGGCCTCTGCCTCCATTTCTGCCATTCTCTCCCTGCATTCTGGCCCTCTGGATTCTGCCTGGACCTCACAACCACCATGATCAGTGCTCTATGACCCACGTTGTCCCACACCCCATGAGGCTTCTCTCTAGGTATATTCAATGCTCAAGTGTCCCCTGGTGGCTGGCGCCTTAAAGGGCCACCTCTGCCAAGACTACCCCCAATTCCACTGCTTCCCCTTTCCCTGTTTCTATTATAAGTAAAACTTCTCACCTCCTGGCATGCGTATCTCCTCTTTAATTTGAGTGTTCAGAATCTTCCTTCCCTCCCTGAAGTGTTAGCAATGTGAAACTGTCGACTTTCTTTTCAGTTTTAATTAATCTTCTCCAACTCGAGCACAATTTTATCAGTTGTGAGGAAATGTTTATTTTATCTTGATGTTATGTCTGCCATTTCCTCATGTGATTCCCTCCAGGTCTAAAAGTCTTATGTTCTGCTTCCCTTCTACCATGATCAAAACCAGTTTGTGCTCATTACCTAGTGAGAGGACGTCATTTGTGAATAAAGATACTAACTGTGAGGCTCAGACTTCATTATGTGGGGGAAACAACCTTGAGAACTCCTCAGACTGCACTGAGGAGTGAGTGTAAGATGGTGAGTGAGAGGTGGGGGGGGGACAGTGATGTGGAGGTTCCCCCAAATTGTCCAGTTGGATTTCTTCTTCAACAGAAAACTCACATTGCAGCATTATCACAGTGAAATGAAACAATCTCCATGTAATTTATCAAGTTTATTTTTTCATTTGTAGCCATTGTTACATTAGAATATAGATTTTAAATAAAAATTCCTTTTTATAAATACCATTTAACTCCATCTGAAAGGTAATTATCTTTTTTTTAATAATACATATTCCAAAACTTGCTTTGATTTAAATTTAGGACTATTGGCAATTTATCTCTTGAAAAAAATACTGCTATTGGCAACTAAAAATCTATATTGATAATCTACATGTATTTTCAAATTATAATGCAATTTTATACAGAGAAGAAAATATGAATGTAGTGAAATAGATATGTATGTATTTCACATGAGATTTAAGTATACTCGTTAGTAAAATCGTCTTGAGAGATGTGGCTTAAACACCCACTGAGTAAAAGATCAGCCCCTCAACTACAGCGTTTTCACACCGCTGATAAGTGATAATCCAAGCTTCCTGCGAATGTAAAGAAAATAATCCCACGTGTGTTGATGTGTTAGGAATTGCAATACATTTTAGACGGGACAAGCTGACCATGAAGGAGCTCACTGGTGTGTCCAGCATGTAGAGCTGGAGGAACTGTAGCCCAAGGAGGGGGTCCTCTGCCCCCACTGGCCTCAGTGCCGCTCAGGTGGAGATGCACTGGGGTTGGTGAGTGCAGCCTGGTGGCTTTGGAGGCCTGAGTGGAGGGGAGGAAACATCTGTGCTTTAATGCCCAGGCCGCTCCTGGGGAAAGACCCTCCGGCCCGGTGCTTGGCCTCCTGGCTGGTGTGGGAAAGCCCCTCGTGGTGTGGTGACTCTCAGAACCTCTTCCAGGAGCTTGAGCACTTTTATCTCTAGCATCTCCTCCTCTTTAGCTGGCATCTCCTTTCTCTGTCTTCAGTTCCTGGATCACCAGAGAATTGAGTTCCTTCATAAAAATCAGGATGACCCTCATCCCCTTTCTGTAAGTGTCGGTGAGGCTGGGTTTATTGAGTGACTTTTTCTATCCTGGCATTCTCGAAAGATGTCTCCATCCCTGCATACTGCTTTTAGGCAGCACAAAGCTTGCCGGTGAGTTGGCATTTGTCCTCGATCTGTGCAGCCAGTGTTTTTGTGAGCTGCTTTTCTTGTCTTCCGTAAAGACGACTTCCAACAGACTGAACAAGTCTGAATGAAAGTAAAAGGCCCATCAAGAAACTGGTGACAGTCAGACACACCACGTCTCCCACTGGAGGCTCTGGAATGTGACCATGAACTCAGGCCATTGGGCAGCAGCACCACCACCGCCTCACTCAGCTTCCCAAACCTCAGCCTAAAGCCAAGCTGTGCAGAGGAGGGCAGCCCCTGCATGGCACTGACCCACCACAGGGCTCTGCCTGGTTTCCGTGGGTCCTCCAACCACAGCAAACCCCCAAACACCCCAGCATCCCGCCCGGAACGCAGCCAGCACCTGGCAACCTGGATTGGTCAGGTATCCAGTCTGTTGAGGGAAGGGGTCAGTGGGAGTCTTGTAAATATATTCTCTCCATCCTTGTCTGAGGTTAATTTTTCTTTAATTCTTACTGTTTATATGAACGTAGAATTGAAATGCAGTTAATAGTATCACCTTTAAGTTCATGGCTTGACAAATCGTAAAAATGTATAACCCCTACGGAATCCAAAAACTGTCAATATGTGTATCATATCAGTTAACACAAAATCCCATCACATTTCAGTTAAAACACACCCACTCTCACCAATTTAGCCTTTTAAAAAATTGTCATGAACATCCATCAGTTTGGCAGTGGCCATACTTCATAAAAATGAAGTAAATCATGTACGCGTCAACGTCTGTCTCTTTTTGCTCTAAGTACTGTTTTTGAGAGCCACACGTTTTCATTTGAATAGTTCATTCTGTTTTAGAGCAGAATAATTTGTCCTTGTAAGAATATATCACAAAAAATCTACCCATTCTCTTAATGGACATGTGATTTAGTCCATATATAGGATATTATGAATAAGTATTTTTGAATATTTATGTAAATTTTTTTCTAAGTGTCTGTTTTCACTTTTCCTGGGTGAAGAATGCCTGCCTGGGGGTGGCAATACTGGGTAGGTATGTGCTAAATACTCTTACTTTGAAGTCGTTTTCTTGTGGTATAATTTACATGCCATAAATTCATCCATTTCAAAACACAATTCTTTGATATTTTTGCATGTTTATAAATGTACAGAGCTGTGTCTCCATCATAATCCCACTTTAGAACAATTCTATCACAGTAAAGATTTCTCAGTCTTCACTTTTCTCTGTTGATTTCGTTTGCCACAGTCTCTCTCTAAGATGCTTCCGCT